CCAGAGCCCCAAATCGCCTGCAAGACCCGGCTTCGGACAGCAGGTAACACCAGGGTGACGTCCCCTCTGCTCGGGGGGGATGCTGTGACGCGGGGGTCCCCAGGGAGGACGGGCCCCTCCCGCGGTGCTGCTGCCCCATCCCCGATCTGGAGGCAGTTGGGGCAGGACATCACGGCGTTCTGCCCGTTTTAAAACAGGGGAAAACAAGGCGCGGCAGCGCACCAGGTGCCAGAGTGACAGGCAGCCCCACTTTTGGGGGAGAAAACCTGGAAAACCTCATTTTTTACTCCAAACCCCAGGGCTCGGAGGGGTTTTGCAACACCCCGTTCCCCTTCTTCCCGGCGTCCCTCAGCCTGGAGCCGAGCTCGCCCGGCGAAGCCCAAAGCCCAGGCTGGGTGTCGGGGAGAGCGGTGGCTCTGGAGGGACGTTGGCTGCAGGTGGAGGTGGGGATTGGGGCGCAGCTGTGGGTGCTCAGCCCCTCTGCGGGAACCCACCCATGGGTGGGGAAGGAGGCGGAGGTGTGTCGGGGCTGGGCTGTCGGTGGATTTAGCTCTGGAGAGGTTTCAGTGTCTGGATACTTGCTGGGAGGGTGGTGCTGGGCTGAGCTCTGCTGTGTAATGAGGTGTGTTGGGTCTCTGCAGACCTCTCCCTTTGGGGTTTCTCCAGCTGAGACCTCTGCGTTGCAGACCCGTGACCCTGCATGGTGCTAAATGGGGGTGTCAGGGGGTTTGGGACCACGGTGCTGGATGTGGTTTGGGAAGGGCTCGGTGATGATGCTGGTGGTTGTTTACCCCCAAGTCCGGAAACGCTCTGCTGGGAAGGAAAGGGAGGGGAGAGCTGGGGCTGTTCCCAGCACTGGAGCGGGAGGGATGTGGCTGGAGGTGGCCCTGAGACATCCCCGTCTGTGTGGTCCTGGGGGTCCTTGACCCCCAGCGTTGCCTCTTCCTGCCCCCCCCTCCAGCTCCCTGGTGGCTCTGCAGTGACCAGGAAGGACCAGGGACCTGCTGGTGGCCTGGGACAGGACAGGACAGTGACAGGTCAGTGCTGTAGCTCTTGGGTTGGGGTTTGGGTGCTGCCGCCCAGCACCCTTGGGTGTCATCGCCCTGTCCTCTCAACCTTCGCATGAATGGAGCAGGGAGGGGATGTGTGTAAGGAAATGGGTCTTTTGCGCTAGAAATGCAGCTTTTCCTGGGGATTTCCTGGCTGATGTGAGATGGGGAATGGGAAAAACGGTGGCTTTGAGCAGAAGTTGCTGCTGGAAGGAGGTTGTCTCCATCTGAGGAGAAGGGACCTTGCTTTAAAATCCAGTTTGGCCCCTTTCTGGGTCTCCTTGAGTCCATCAAGATGTCAACCCTTGGGTAAGATGAGGAGGTCAGGTGGAGAGATGCTGGTGGTCTCCCATGGCAGGGAGAAGGTGCAGGGCTCCAGGGAGCAGCCGGAGTGGACACGCGGGCATCGCCTGCCTCAGCACCCCTGCCCCAGCGCTGCCAGGAGCCTCGGGGGCACATCCAGCACCCGTCCTGACTGCACCGGCACCCAACCCGGACCTGGTGGCACCATCATGTCCCAGGCAGAAGGTACGGCTGAGCCCTCGGCCGGTCCCGGGGGAGGTGCAGGCTTTGCACGGGGATCCCGGTGCTGGTGTGAGCCCCCATAAATCAGCACCAATCTCCACCTCATCCTGTTCAATGGCCCCCTTTTGCTTGGATTTTTGATCCTAAAAGCACCTTTTGCCCCAAACCTGGATTTGCAGGGTGCTGGACTGCTCCAGGAGCTCTTGTAGCAGGAGCCCTTGTCCCTGTGCTCCCCCCCAGATCCCATCCACACTGTGTGGGGAGGGCGGTTGGATGTGGCTGGAACTGGGGGGGGCGGCACAGAAATAAGCACTGGAGGGGAAGCGCAGGCAGCTGGTCCCCACAGCCTGAGGGATCCATGCACGGACTGCTCTGCTCCGTCCCTCCCAGGAGATGAAACCTTTGAATACTGCGATGTGGTCATCAACAGCCAGGAGAAGGTTTTGGATGTGTACACGCAGCTGGAGAAACTGGGGGAGTAAGTGGGGGTCCCACGCACCTGCTGCTTGGGGCTGGTCCATGGCTGTCCACGCACAGCCGTGGGTGGGATGCAGGGTGGTGGTGATGGCTCCTCTATCCTTCATCCTTGTTCTGTCCCAGGGGAAAATTTGGCACAGTGTACCGGCTGCAGGAAAAAGCCACTGGCAAAATCCGAGCTGGGAAATATTTCCGGACGCGGACAGCTAAAGAGAAGCAGGCAGCTCAGGCCGAGGTGGAGCTCATGAACCTGCTGCATCACCCGCGCCTCGTGCAGTGCCTCGCCGCCTTCCAGGGTCCCACCGAGCTGGTGATGGTGATGGAGTAGTGAGTAGGGTGGCAGAGTCAAGTTTGGGGATGGTGCTGGACCCTGCAAGGAAGAGCACGGAAGGCAGGGAGGGGTTCCTGCACCGTGGGGTGCTGGCATGGGGCGTAGGACGGATGGGGAACCTGCAGATCCTGGAGGTATGGGTGGTGAGATCTTCCTGGAGCACTGAGTCTGGGTTCCCAGGTGGGATTTCTCCTCCTTGCGGCTGGAAGATCCCAGTGAGGTCCCCAGCACTCTGTCCTCCCCCAGCGTGGCAGGCGGGGAGCTCTTTGAGCGCATTGTGGACGATGACTTTGAGCACACGGAGCCCAGCAGCACCCAGTACCTGCGGCAGATCCTGGAGGGACTGCAGTTCATGCATGGCCCGGCTGGCGTCCCCCCTTGCCT